TTTCCAGCCTTTTCTTCTTCTATTAAACTGCTGCCAACATAAAAACAGACATTCATGAAGGAAGAGACACACATATTAAAAAGTTAAGAAAGTGATTTCCCTTCAGGAAACAAAGTAGCTACAAAATATGTAGCTATATATCCATCAGAAAGAAAAGAAAGAATGATCAGTAATAAAATGACACTGTTTCTTTGGTTTATGTGGCATTCTAACTTCATTTATTACATTTTTGTAGCATATTAGATTTTGCAGTCAAAATATAAAGCCAGTAATTAGATGTTTATCCATGTTCTTTCTAGATAATCCCATTCACTGGGTCAATCCAAGGTGGTCTGCAGGAGGGGAAGTCTATCACTGTCAGTGGACGTGTCCTACCTGGGGCTGACAGGTCTGTCTGCTTGTTCCTTTATTTATCAGCAGAAGTGTTTTATTTGTTAACCAATAATTTTCTTCAAATCTTTCATCAACAAGTATTTTTTTGCACAAAACAAGACGAAACTAAATAAAAACGAATGCAGGGCGACATTAACACTTTCATCTATAAATAAAAATGAGATGAAAATGTTCTGGACTGACAAGATCCAATCAGAAGTAATTAAGTCACCAAAACCACGTGAGAGTGTTCAGTCCACTCAATGGGCAGATGTGTCTGGGGCAGGAGCAACAAAAGTAAATACAGTAAGAAGTTACTGTGTGACAAAAGATATGTTTGTTTCATTGAAAGTTGATAGCCCATACAGACCGTTGCACATCTGTGTTAAGGGACAGCCACTTAAGAGGTCACTATTAATCATGTGTCTCATCACATGAGCCAAGGTGTTGTTTTTTTTTGTTTTTTTTAAAAAAAGGCGTGGATCTCATATGCAGGGTCCAGAACCCCGAAACAGGAAGTCTGGGTCAGCTCTCTGTTTAAAAAAAAAAAAAGACTCTTCTAATGTCTGAATGTTGTGTGGGTGAACATGACCCAGCTTCGACCTTGGCAGACCTTGGCAGGCAAGGTCCCTGGCTCAGCTGCAGCGGAGGGGTGGTGCAGTGAGCTCAAGGGGCAGTGCAGGGAGGTTGGCAAACAGGTGCACAGAATCAACTAGAGATGGCACGATACCACTTTTTTATGTCCGATACCGATACCGATATCATAAATTTGGATATCTGCCGATACCGATATGAATCCGATATAGTGTATTTTTTAATCAATAAAACGTTTTTTTAATATCTTGCTGCATTTTGTATAAGTTCATACTCAAATTTAAATAAATAACAACACTAAAGCTATTCTGTTATACCTGTATGTAAAAAATACACTGCGCCCAAAATATTTCATAGTTCAGCAACACTGATCAATCTAATAAACTTAAACCTGCTCCATCCTCCCTATTCTGGTATTTTAAAGAGTACTTAACAGATATATTAAGCAACCT